TTACCCATGTACTTGTACTTGAATACTTAAGAGAGGTGGCCCCCGGGGGGGTCGGGGGTCCATACCCATGTACTTGTACTTGAATACTTAAGAGAGGTGGCCCGGAAGGGGAGGGGGGTGTTAACAGAAAGATACCAACAAAAGGTACGCAAGGCGGAGGGTGGTGCTTCACCGTAAGGATTGTTCTCCAGTTACATGGGGTTTGTTTTTGTTTTACCAAAGGATGGGCCGGTGTCGACTTGAGCAAGAGCGTGCATTATATATAATATAATATTATATTATGGGTATACATGCACGTGAGCGCGCACGGAAGTGGGAATCAAACAAAGACAGAAAAGAGAATGGATTATTAAACTAAGGTACAATAATATGGTTTTAAAGACAGATCTTAAGCCGATTTCTCGATGAACTACGATGGTTCATAGAATAGGTGTCGCCCAACAGAGGCCGATTTGTCTATTTTGGTGGCGTGTGGAGATCACTTGGGTAATGGCAAGTATTATGCCCCGATTGGAAATACATAGAGGTGGGCGATACGATTGTTTTAGCCTCTTAAAGGCGTCAAAAGGGAGCGCTGTTTATAAAAAGGAAAGGTCGACAAGCACCTCTTCAGAGAGTGTTGACCTGATGATACTCAATATCCAAAATGCTCGCCATTGTATCAACTTAGTCCCATCTCTACCTCACATACTTTGCACCGCCGCTAGCACCAAGACATGGCTTGTTTGATTAAAACTTAGCGCTGACCATCACTGGGCTTCCCATTTACATTTTCCTCGCACGTTTCATCAGCAACTTTCTCTGTGTGTACTTGGAGTTCGTCTATTCCGTAATAATTTCTAATCGTTTGGCAGTTTGTTTTGTCTGCAGCTTCACGACTTGGGCATGCGCTCGTTCGAGTAGTTTTGGCATGTTCTTTTTTACGCTAGTTGTCACTAGATTTTACGAAGTATTCCTTATTTATTGTTTTCCTTCTCTTTTGTATCGGTATACAGATGTATGATAATATGCTATCCCAGAGTGCGTGCCAATGTCAGCTTGTGTGTGGTTGTGTATTGGGTTAGTCGAGAACCCATCTGTACTTTCACGTTTATGTTTATGTGTGCGTGCACAATGTGTGTGTGTGTGTGTGTGTGTGTGTGTGTGTGTGTTTATGTGTGTGTGTGTGTGCGTGTGTGTGTGTGTGTTTATGTGTGTGTGTGTGTGCGTGTGTATGTGTGCGTACGTGCGTTCGTGTGATGTGTATGTTTTAGCGTGTAAAAGAGTTATGTGAGTGCATGTGTGTTTTTCGTCTGTAATTGTATCCAGCTCAACTTAACGGCAACAACATTTCCATCCATTACAAAAAAACCCCGACAACAGTAACAACAACAACAACAACAACAACAACAACAACAACAACGACAACAACAACAACGACAGCAACAACAATAACAACAACGACGACAACAACAACGACAGCAACAACAACAACAGCAACAACAACAACAACAACAACAACAACGCAAACAACAGCAGCAACGTCTTGTGGCAACAAGGATTATCTTAAAGAAAATGTTATTTTTAGATTATAATATGTTAATTTTTAAAATCATAAAGCTACTTATTTATTAGTCTGTAAAAGCGTGCCCTTGTGTTTGTCGTCTTCTTACTCAATAATATGTAATGCAGTGTCTTTATCATGAATAATCATAACAATGACCCAGCAAGACGTGTTACTGAGACGAAATAGTCTGTCCATATTGACGCTGAAACAATGTACAACACTGTGTGCACTATGTAGCCAGTTGGCATGTGTTTCTAGATGTTGCTAGAGAACGTAATAATTATACATTGTATTGCTTATTTGTAATGGAATTTGGTTGGTCGTAGCTAGGTCTTTGTACGTTTTTGTGTGTGCGTGTGTGTGTGTGTGTGTGTGTGTGTGTTTGCCTGTGTTCGGGTGTATGCGTATATATGCACGTATAAGAACTTGGCAGCTAAACAAGCTTTAACACATGTTGACAGTATCTTAATAAGATAATATCTAACGTAGGTTATGTAATTTCCCATTCTTGTCGCTTGACAGAAATATTATATTATCGTAGACTTCAAATCTGTAATAGTTAAATAGCCCTATCATCGTTTACAACAACAAAAAACAACCGTCTGCGCGTGAGATTAACTGTGCTGATATCTAACCGTAACAAAATAATATAATCCTTTAATAAAAAAAAAATTAATTCAGGGAACTTTCTACTGCCTCGACTGAATGTTGATGAACCCTCTTTTCTCATGTTTTCCCCTTTTTTTTTAAAAACGTCGCCATGATTATCTATTGTTCATTGCAGTTTTAGATCTTAATTTTAACCCAATGTATTCTCGCTTGGGTGGACATGCACCTCGCAATCCCGCCTGGGCCGCGGGTCAGTTCATACCGATGACAAATGGTGGACAGAGGATCAGGGCAATCACGTCCAAATTTAGCGCTTTGTCCATTGATCGTGAGTGTTTTATGCCGCTACAAACACAATTTAAATAATTTAGGAGACGGCCTACTTCGGTCTTCCTTGTCAGAGCCAACTCAGGGGCTGAGAGGGAAACACCACTCCAGTTACTGTTTTGTGTAATGGGCGGGGGCGGGGGCGGAAGAGGTTGGGGGGGAGTGGGGGGTAATAATATCAAAAGTACTAACATGTCATGAACACAGTCTAATTCCAAGAAACTTATGGAGTTACATCTTTGGTATTTACAGATATAAAAGACCACTAGAATTAATCAATTTGCTATCCTCTGCAAACTGGCCCTCAAAATAATTTAAATAATTTAAATTCTTACACTCTAGTGGAGATGTTTAAGGTTCTACTACGTTGAGAACACAAGGGCGAACTGCACCGGGGTTCAGAAACAGGGAAAAAAGTAAGCGTAGTCAAAAACACACCAAGAAAAATCGAAATGTCCACGTGTAGAGCAAAGCCGGGTTTTTTTTTTTTTCTAAGTTAGATAAGGAATTTCTCGTGGGTTTAATGAGTTTTTTTCCACGGTCTGCCGCGGGGCAGCTCGTTAGACGTTGGTCGGTGTGACTGCACCCTAATGCTGTCCACCCGCCCTGTGGCTTCGGGATTTTTTAATGGGTGCGCCGTTAACTTATGCCGGAATTTGGTGCTGTCGATGGTTCGAATACACAGAGGTATGTTGTTGAACTTGAGTTGTTTTGCTGAGTCATCAAGGCTTTCCATGCACTTGATCCTATCAGAGATGGTCGTTACATTCGGAGATTGCGCCTCATAAATTACATTACATTGTTGATAGGGACACTAAATCCACCTCACGTCTGTTTGTTTATGCACTTTTCTGCGACGTTTTATATATTTGTTTAAAATAAAAAGGTATGATACTAACCGGCTGTTGGACATGCAAAACACTGTTGGAAAATAGCCAACGGTAGTGATTTGCATCATTTTTGCGTGTTAGATTTGAATAACCTCCAACAAAATCTTTGTCTTACCATAGCATCGCCTCTGATTCGAACTCTTGCCGTTTGATTTATTTATTAAACTTTTTGTTTTATAATTTCGTTCTTGATTCGTGTTACCGTCAAGTATATACATATATGTGTGTGTGTGTGTGTGTGTGTGTGTGTGTGTGTGTGTGTGTGTGTGTGT